TGTAGGTTAACTTTAGTGTGCAAAAATAGTTAATAGAATATAAGTATATATTGTTTTGTTGTTTTGTTTTGTATCATTTTTGACAAAACTGGTTTAACTTGTTATGATAAGCTAACTGGTGTAGCTATTTTGCTAATGTGACAGATATCGCCCTCTTCTGCAACTTCTTGCAGGAAAACAGTAGTTTCTTAAATTATCAGATGTTTCTAACCTTTTTTTTAACAGCAGAAACTTATTTATCAAATAATTACAGAGATGTATTTAACACCACTTCACCATCATCAGTGTTTATGAAACAGGATTGAGGGCAGATTTGAAAGCGTGATTTACGAGAATTCTCCCCCCCCCCCCTTTTTAAACAACCTGTCTTGTCACATTCTGTATTTATCGTCTGGAATATAACAGACTGCCTGCAGCTTTCACCAATAAAATCAGTGTTTTCTTGGGAAATGCAGCTGTGTGGCATATGAGTCTAATTCTCTTTTCACAGGGACAAACCCGGATCAAAAGTCTTAGTTCAAGAGTTGGTCTTGATTTAGAGTGAGGTTTACAAGTTGTTAGCAAGGAAAACAGACGAGTGAGATCCCTTCTGTTCCACTCCACCTATAGGCCTGTACACTTAATGCTTTCCTGTGGATGTGATTGCATGTTTAATAAGTTTTTTTAATCTATGCTAAATTCTTAACAGTATGTTTACTCACAGATCCAGTAAGTTTTGTCTTTTGATGCCATCTTCCATTTTTCACTTAAGTTATCAGAGCAAGCTGTCAAGTGGGTTGTTTTCTAGTTTTGGGTTGTGTTAGCAGCAACATGTTGTCAGTTGAGTGATTTGAAAAAAGTGTTAAATTGCATTTAGGGGTTAGGTTTGAAACGTCACTCAACTTGTGGCAATAAATGAGTTACAAGTCGGGTCCTGCCTTTTTATCTCATAAATGGCATGAGGTGCATATATTGGCGCGTTTGTGTTGCTGCAAACTTGTTATTGTCTCACTTCTTTTAATTACTTGCAACCATGAAAGGCAAGCAACTTGTATGCACTATGTTTGTCTGTTAGCAAACTATCTCATGAACCCGTAGACAGATTTTAAGGAAGATCAGTTATCAGAGGATGTACATCTACAACTTATTTGACCAATTCAAGATAGCAGCCACAGCTACTTTACTTTAACAAACACAAAAACAGCAATAACTCTGTCATTTTTACAACGATTGAGCTAAGATTTGATGTGGTAGTAGCTGCGACTCATACCCAACACATACTCTGAGTGCTAATGTAAGTTGCAGGATCTTTGTTTCAAACTTTGGCATGCAAAGCAGTGATCTTTCAAGGAATGCTACTTTCATTTTTGTCTTTTTTCACACACTTCTTGGGCTAATTCTGGCTCTTCACTGTCATCAGCTAACATAATAGCAGCTAGCTGAGGGGACGTCCACAATGGAAACCTTTTTGTGAATATGCAAAGATTTGTTGTTAGTTTGTTTCAGCTGAATGAAAGCTACGTTTTTAGATCCCCCTTGCATTTTTGTGTGAACAAATGAATGAAGTCATAGCCCCACCTGTAATCTAACCTATGATCCAAACCTGAAGGTGTCCTTCTCCTTTTGTTGTACAGTAGTCCCTCACTGTATTGCGGTTTGACTTTTGCGGACTCACTTTTTCACAGGTTTTCAATACAAGATTGTGCACGACACACAACTTGTTGATTGATGGAAGGCAACCAAACAGAGCATTGTGTTGAGGGGCGGACTGGCCATCGGGAGCACCGGGACATTTCCCGGTGGCCTGGCCCGCTGAGCAGTAGCAATGGGGAAAGGCAGACCCCACCATGCCCCCTCCTTTCTCTTTCTGAGACTGTCTGTCACAGCAGAGCAGAGACACACACAGGTTGTACGCCCGCCTGACGTGTGTCTCTGCTCTGCTGTGACAGACAGCCTCAGAAAGAGAAAGGAGGGGGCGGGATTGACTCAGTAACTGTAGCATCAGTCTGTCTGCTCTCTTTCGCTGTGCTCTTTTAGAGTGTTTAGAGAGCTTAGAACATTGTTAAGAACGTTGCTAGAGTGTGGAAATGGTTTATTAATCCTTAAAATGTAATACTAAAACAAATATAATGTCTCTTCTTTGAGGATTTTCACCTATTGCAGGAGAGTCTGGAATGTAACCCCTGTGCTAAGTGAGGGACTACTGTATTTACTAGGGATGCACCAATCCACTTTTTTTTTTACTTCCGATCCGATCCCAATACCTAAATCTGGATATTGTCCGATACCGATCCAGTTCTGATATCATAATCATAATTGATTTTATATGAGGTTGTAATAATCTTTTCTCAAGTACAATTTATACAAATATATGCATGCATGTCTAAAAAGGTAACTTGAGGTAAGTTTTATTAATTTTGGATAAGTTTTAAAGTTAGAATTAGATTCTGCTAACACAAAGCATATTTCTTTTTAATTCCTTGCTTTAAAGTGGATATTAAAGGAATTAATTTAAGTGATTGTTTAAAGTTATTTTATATATTTGTAAATAAGGGGCAGATATAATAATTTTTTTTCTTCTTTCTGCACTCTTTTCATTCAATGTTTTCTTTTTGATTAATTTGTTTTGTTTCTTTTAAATGAATGTATAAATGATTTAAATAAAATAAAATGTTAAATGGCTTTAAACATCTGCTAAGTTCATGGCATAAACCAACAGACATGTTCCTGTTTTTAGTATTTTACATCACTTTATAATGTAGCTGTTTTTGTTTCGTTATATATATATATATATATATATATATATATATATATATAT